TATATATATATATATATATATATATATGTCTTGTTCAGCTGTAGCACCCTTTTGGTGCTTAGCTGTCATGCTACCCGAAAGTTGCACGAGGGCTAGGATACTGCTAGGTTGCCCAAGCCTAGACAGGGGAAGTCGAGAGGCCGAGATCGGGTTCGAAACACGGACCTTCCGGTCAGTAAATTCGCACTCTAACCACTTGGGCCATCTCGCCCGAGTTAGCACGTGAGAGATATCACCAGTAGAGTTTTACGCGGATTTGTTACGGATGGCAACGCGAGCACTACTCGGCTTCTGTTCAGGGGTGGGCCGCTAGGCTTTCAACACCCAAATGCGACCTGCAAGCAGCAGAGGACGAGAGGAGAAAGGCTGGACAAAGCTGACCATAAAACTCATTTGCCAATGCTCTATGCAATAAACCGATCACATTGCCCTTCGGTAAAAATACAATCGAGCAGAGTCAAGCAAGCTAGGGAAATTCTGTCAACTACACAGGGGTTCAGAATGCCTTTAAAAAAGTGGAATTATCGGCCAAAGTTAAACAAGGCCACTAGTAGCCAAAGATAAAATTTATCGCGGGATAGGAGACCTATCACCCGCACCGGAAACCAACCGCCCCCGCTTTCACAGCTCCTTTACTAGGATCATTTCATCTTAAATCAGGCATATCATTCAAAATATGGGTTTGCTCAAAGACCATCTTCTCATAGGCACAATACTGACCGCCCATGTTCTAAAAATCCAATATTCCTAAGGTCGGACTCACCTGTTTGGGAATGGGCGGTGGTGGCGGGAATGACTGCGTTTCCTCGGGGGCACCGAAAACTTTGAGTGCTGATTTGTCAATGAGTGTGTACAGCTGATGACAAGCATCACATTTCATGAAGCGAGAGACATCTGAAAAAGGAGAGTGTGTTTGCCAGTCCGAACCCGAAGTAAGGTACTAAAACCACCGGTACCAGCGTCATTCGGTTGACAAACTGAAAATATGTAGGCGCGGAAAGTAACTTTGTTCCTAGGTTTCCAGACCATAAAACCCACAGCACTAGGCCCACATTTGACGTGGTGAATACCGGGGAAAGGATTCGACCAAACTGAGCGTCAAAAGTCGTGCTGTCCAAAAACGGCACCACGTCGCACACTATAGTCGTAGTAGTAGCCGCTTCGATGTGTCAGAGACAGTGTGCGTGTGCTTGTCCGTGATGACTTATTTTGAACTTACAATAACAGTGAAAGTAAAATAAACTATATTCGAAAACTCACGAAACGTCTCAAGCTATGGATTCACTGCTTGGCATCAACCAGGACGGTCAGTCAAAGGTGAAATCCGAACAAACTAATCAATTCTGAAGATCCAGCCAGTACCTAGGCTTTCCGAAATAAACAAAGTTTCTATGATGGTGATACGGAAACTAGGGGGAAACTTCAGTTCACCGCCTTAAAATAGTGATGAAGTCTTTCCAATCCTACCGGTTTCAAGATTGAGAGAAGTGGAGCGCAGCAAACGAGACGTTCGACTCTGCACTCACTTCATGACGCGTGGACTGGAAAGCCTTGGCAGTTCCCGACAAAAAAACTCGCCCAGTCATGATAAGCCTAGCGCGACACGCCCGGCCGCTACGTGAAAAGACAACTAGGAATTCGAATGCGGCAAGCAGTTTACAAATCTTTGAGAAACTAGGCCCGCACACACAATAACAAAACGTCAATCTTGCGGTTTCGAAAGCGCATAAGTTTCAGCGAAATTCAGGCATTCGCAAATTAAATTGACAATAACGGGAGACCCGGATGAATTTGTTGTGGCGACTGAGGCACTCAAACGTTGGCACGGATGGCACCGGTTGAAGGAGATGCAAAAATGATGGATTTGCCTCAAAAACCAGGTAATTTTGTTGATAGTCTGAGAGTTGAAGACTTTAGAATGAGATTTCGTCCTACGATTGAAGCCAATCCAGACTGAGAAGCTGAGAAGTAGTTTCATCGTTATTTGGAATCATTAGCAGTATGCATTTCAGGAAACTCCAGGGGGTTTTGAACCCCCGACACCCCGAGCTAGTGGTTGAACACTTGACCGAAAGTGTGATTAAACCGAAATTAGGCAAGATACAGCCTCAATAAATCTGCAACCCCGCAATTCACACCACGTGGCCACGTGTTGACTGTCGACCGACGAGTCCTCAGATGGAAGGTTGACTTGTCATGTGAATTGTCAATCTTCTTGTGGCTTATTGGTGGTTATGAATCAATCAATCGCGAACTCATTGTGCCATCTGATAGGCGCCTACCATACGAGTAGGAACTTAAAAAGCAGACACAGAAGGGACTTTTCTGTAAAAAGCCGAAATAGCGGAATTGCACATGAATCGACCATATATCAAGCACCCGAAAGGAATAAGGACATGTCGTCCTGACAGAGGCATAGGATTCCCGTTGACGGGCTGTTTTGAGCGTTCTACGCTGAAAACGGATATCAGTCCTCAAGTCCCAATTCCATTTCATCACTATCATCATCATCATCATTGCTGATGTAGAACGATGTCATTTTAGTTGAATAAAGCCTTATAATCAAAAGAAAGAAATGAGACAGTGAGGAGGAACTAGAGCTAGCCTACCAAAAACATCCGACGTGTCTACACCTACACCTACTCATTCAGGCAATCTAGATGGAAATTGACATCACGAATGTCAACGATATCGATTAGCCGCCATTTCGTGCAGCGTCTCCAGCGAAGCACATGGAGGTGAACAGAATCAATACTGTCTAGAAATTTTCGCAACATCCTTTTGCTATATCAGACTGTGTCTAGCACTAGGTTTTTCCCAATCCGAATTGGGAGCATAAAGAGTACTGAAGCACATGGAGGTGAACAGAATCAATACTGTCTAGAAATTTTCGCAACATCCTTTTGCTATATCAGACTGTGTCTAGCACTAGGTTTTTCCCAATCCGAATTGGGAGCATAAAGAGTACTCGTCTTGACAGGCGGTAATTTGGTATGCGTGACACATGGCCCAGCCGCATTTTCTTCAGAGCGCTGGATACATTCTTTGAGGGAAACACTCTCTGCTTCACCAAAACCAGTCTTTTGATCACCAGATTGCGAATTCATTGGTTCCAATCGATTCCAGCTATAGCTCTGAGACATCGGTTGTTAAAGACCTGGAGATATCTCAGATCATCCACCCGAAATGGTCGATTCTTGCAGCAATATAACAATACAGCTCGGATTGTGGTCTGATACACGCGTCCCTTGAGACCCATTGGGATGCCCTATTGACACCACAAGTGGCACGAATTGGCAAACACACTTCTAGCCTTGGGGGTTCATGGATTCACTTCGTCGTTTCTCACTCTACCGCCTGAGCTAGTGAAACTTCCGAGATACATGCAGTGTCAGGACGATCAGATTCCTCAAAATAACCCGAATGCCCGAAACCAACTGAAACCCTCGAACCTCACCAAAATCGTAGTAGGGAGGCTATCAAGCATCTGGACCACAAAAGCCAGCTATCGATTGGACGCTCAAGCAGTTAATCAGTTCAGCAACGGTCGACGATTATGAGCACTCGGACAGTCTGGACCTCGATGCCTTTTGTAATCTTTGCAATCACTTGCTCGCGACAAAGTTGTGGTACTTGTTGTGAGTATTTCCGAAAATGACGCAATGGAGTTAGTTACAAAATATAGTACTCCATTTCTTTGTGCCATTCCTTGAACCCTTCGAAAACTGTCAGAAAAAATCGTTCACCTGTCGCACCCTTTCGGTGCCTAACGGCCATGCCACCCGAAGATTGCATGAGGGCTGGGATACTGCCAAGTTGCCCAAGCCTAGACAAGGGAAGTCGAGAGCCAGAGGTCGGGTTCGAACCACAGACCTTCCGGTTAGTAAATTCGCGCAATAACCACCTGGGCTATCTCGCCCCCGTCAAGGACATTGGAAAATGTCTGGGACCGATTAGATATTCATTGTTTTAGAGAGGTTTGGTAAACAGTCGGTGGATTTGTTGCTGAGCGACGTTTCGCTCCTGATACAAAAAGGTTCCCAAAGTGAGTCAGTTACCAGGTTGATCGGGTTATAAGGTAGTCAGGAAGGCAGTCCGTGAGATCTCTTATGACTAACCAACTTTATCAGAGCTAGGCGTCCGCCTGAAGTTTGTTTGTCGGTCAGTGGGGATGACTAACTCTTACGATCGATTGGTTAGGGCGGTTGTCTTCATGTTGAATCCGGATTTTGCGATCTAGGACACCTTAATAAAACATTCGCCTTAGTGGTCGCTCACAGATTTTGTTCATCTGTGTGCGTCGAGGGGTGACGGAACAATTGGATATAGGTTGGAGGGTGGTTAAGTGAACCATACTCTCTAATCAGTTGGAAAATGTTTGGGACCGACTGCGTAGTTATCGTTTCAAAGAGGCTTTGTACTTTTAAACCCAGACCATTTTACTGATAACTGCATACGGCCTCGTGCCATCTCGACTGAACTAAAACCGCTATCCACACGCTTGCCAGTTCTATGCCCTTTTTTCAATTCACGCCGGGATGCTTGGCGATTTCCATCGCCTCGATCACCAGTCGCTGTGGTGTGAATCTTAGTTTCCATCTCAAAATTTCTATTTTCCAAATCTATCCTGTGCCCAAAACTTGCCCTACCATTGCCGAGTCTGACCGTCACCCGATATTCATCTACGTTTATCGGTGGTCTGTTAATGAATCGAATATGCTCACCGACTCTGGTGTACGTTTGCCTGGCTGCCTGACCTATGTAAACCTTCGTGCAGTCGTTACATTTTATTTTGTATACACAATCCCCAGTTCTATCAACCATAAGGCGATCCTTCAACTGCACCAATACTGAGCGTAAGGTTTTTCCCCTTCGGAAATGCTACTCAAATGTAAGCCGCATTTTGTATGGAATGACTGCTGTTCTGACCCATTCATTGTTGGATTTTTGTGTTTGCTACCTGTTAGTTGCCTCTTTATTAAACCCATTGTCTTGAAGACGTTTTCACCTCAAGTTGCGTTGCTCTTCGGTGAACCTCATCTGTGCACAGTGCTCTTACTCAACTGAAAGTCGTTGAAAGTATGCTAGCATATACTGCTTTCCGGTATGTCGAGGACCGCACCACTATTTGTTGATTTCCGGTAGAGTTGTTTTTAATTCCCCACCACTCTTGCGCGTCATGTAGTCAAGGAAGGGACTCAAACTCCATGCTAAACTTTATGTGATGGTTCAAAGTTCTAGGACATTGAAAGAATTCGTTAACTTCACCACGCTTTATCACAACGAACGTATCATCTACATAACGCGAAGGGATATCCAATATCTCCGATTCTAGCCAATATGTAGATGTAAGACTTCGAACAGAAAGCTTTAGACAGATTCGACTGCCCACTGAGAGTTTTCTGACATAAGTGTTGGTCATTCCCATTAACCAACAAACAGAAACTTCAGACGGACATCCAGCACAGATAAAGTCGGCTAGTCATAAAAAATCACACGGACTGATTCCCTGACTGTCGTGAAACCAGATCAACCTGACCACTTGGCCTGACGAAGCTTTTGTATAAAAAGCGAAATGTCGCCCAGCAACAAGTCCACTGATTGTTTACCAAACCTCCCTGGAACTGTTAGAGGTACGTTCAAAGACTGCACGTCCTGCAGCATGATTTTGCAATATGTGGGGGAAGCACGCGCCGAAGGGTTGGATGACTTCAGTAAACTGATCAAGCAATACTTGCACCTCCTGCTCTTATTCACTTCACAGCTCAAACAGCGTATTACCGAGTAGGTCATAAAAACGTCGGTCTGCAAAGCTTGAGATGTCCTTTCGGTACTTGATTTCCGTCAATTTCGTCTTCCTAACTATCCGATAAAGATCCAGCTTTCTGGAGAATTTAGCGAACTTAAGAGGTTCGACGCATCAGTTTGAAAACGTGACGCATGTGAAATGTAAAAAGGGGTCAACTACGGCGCCCTGTATCGCCAGCAATCGATCATTACTGTGCAGCTCCAGCTAAAGCTGGAGGATATTCGAATATTCGACAATCTACTCAAACTGCTACTGGCAGTGATGAGTTATAACTTGCCTAGATAGTTGATGTTCAGATGCCATGATGTGATTATCTCGTCCGTCTGGCCATATTCGCGTTAAGATCCTGATGCGAGCGCTTCAGATCTGTTTAATTTTGAAATGTTGACGGCGTAAACAGGCCAGGATCCCCAGTGCACGCGTTTTCCGACGAAGGAAACTCAAAAGTGTGCGTAAGAAATGGTCTGATGAAATACACGTCTACGCCCAAAAAGACGGGAACTCATAAGATGGTGAGTCAACAATATGAAAAATAATCCGCTGGAAATCAAGTCCATAACAAAATGATCATGTGAGAGGCGAGGAAGCAAGACTTACATGAACTGGTAGGCTCGATCGCTCGCAAAGGACCCCCGCATTTACTGCATTTGATAAAAGAACCGCCGCTGCCATCTCCACCTCCACCACCGGGTTGTTCTCTGACATCATCTGGGAAACCGTCCATCGAACCCGAATATGTCGACGGCCCCCCTGAGGTCTCCGACCCATGCGGCCCCCCTGGTGGCTGTGATTTGCCTGAAAGGTGAAATTGTCGAAACGCAGGGATCAGGTTAAAATGCTGACTAGACTTGATGCAACAGAAGCCACTATGGACAACCTGAACAGGAAAACACCGCACATATGTGCAAGTCACCGTTAATCGAACGTGATCAACCAATAATGTATGCGCACCAGAGCTCCGTAGTAACTGGAAACAGAACCCCTGGCATGTAATTTTATGGACTTTTATTCTTACTTTACATCAACACCGACATCACAAAATCAGTGATCAATAATGATGTTTCGCTACCATACAGTCATGATTTATTTGAAATATTTATTGTGTTGAAATTCACATGTAAACACAAGCATAAACTACTCCAAATCCCCCCCCCCAAAAAAAACTCGAGTTCCCTATGTCCGTACTGCGTGTTGATCCCTCGCAGTCCAGTTTGTTGATAATATCCAAGGATATAACCACCCTTATTACACACACAATGTCAGTGCCTCGAAATCTATCCAAGCGTACCGCAAATCACCTGTAAATCTGCAAATCTAGATACAGAAGCTTTTGTGTTGCTCATATGCCAAAACAAGATTCGGTAGGCAACCTGAGGTATTTGAAAGGCGAAAGGATGGGCTTTCGGTAAGTTCTCAAACCTTGAGGATCACAATTTAAGTCCCTTGGGGTGCATTGTCGCTGAAAAAGGCAATCCAGCAACTTATACCCGAGATCGTTAGCTGATATGTTGTGATCAGATTGACCACAATGGGACTATCTAGATCCCTCAAATTCGGTGCGTTACGAAATCCAAAATATTAAATAAAAAATATCGTTCACCTGTAGGACCCTTTTGGTGCCTAGCTGCCATGTCACCATGAGGAAGCACGAGGGCTGGGATACAGCCAGGTTGCCCAAGCCTAAACAGAAGTCGAGAGGCAGAGGTTGGGTTCAAACCACGAACCTTCCCGTCAGTAAATTCACGCTCTAACCACTGAGCCATCTCGCCCCCACACACATGACATATATATATATATATATATAGTGTGTGTGTGTCAGGTTGTATATATGCGGTGGTCTGGTGCCCGAAACAAAGCTGCCCGTCGAAGGCGGCTAACCCACTGGATGCCTACGCCCGGTAGGCCAGACTGGTGGTTTGCCAAGAGCTGAATTTAGCGCCACGTCATTACACTTCGAATGGCGCGATTGCGTTCTTGCATGCAAATGGGTTACAATTCAAAGCTCACTAAGCCTGCACGGACAACAGTTCACCAGGCCCTTCTATCAAGTGCCAGATTTTCATGGCATATGGACCCACGATTAGTTTTTCAAACCTACCTGAACACTGCCGCAACAGCGGAATTCCGAGCGTCCCTGAGTTTGAACTCCATCCTCCAAGTGGCCGCAAATGGACTGCTTCTGGAAGTAGTTATCGACCACTCGTTTCAAATGTCCTATTAAGCATATCTAGTTTTGCACCAAGGCTCAACCAGTCGTGGCTCGTCAGAGACTGAGGTCTCCGGGATTCTATCTGATCACTGGATCAGAAGTATCTTGCGCAGCAATTCAAATAAAAATTGCCAGGCATTCTAATGTCATCCGTAATAGCATCGCCGTGCAACAGTGAAGACAGCACGACAGCTTGGTGTCCACTCGCAAATTATGGTTCTAAACGCGTCATTTGCAAGTTACAGTTCTGGAAAATCGAATGCAGCACTTGCCTTAGCAACCCCAGCACGTATTTCAGTATCAACTGTCAATTCTGTGAACGGGATGCTGCCGAAGTAGCGGAAATTTTCACAACACGCTGTGCAGCTGGCGTCAATTTGGTTTGTTCCAAGTCAAAGGCAGACTGGCAAGAGACAAGTGTTTTAGTATGTTTAATTGGGAAGTAGCATGAATTCCAGTAGACTGGTTAGAGGCTATGGTGGCTTGTTCCAAACTCTGACACGTATGGTGCCGATGCAGTCTATCCAGAACAAATATACACTGCTGCGGTGCGGTTCACTCTGCTTTATGGATCAAAACTGTGGTCCCTACGCAAACAAGATGTAGGAAAACTCAGGAGCTAACTACCGCTGTCTCCTTTCAGCGTTTTACTAAAAATGCTTCCGGGGTAATGGTCAAGCCTTGTAGAACAAATTGTGCTGGAGTACGTCGAATGGTTTACGAAGGAAATAGGTCGTCCATGCTAGATGAGCTGATCACAGAGTACAGTTTACAATGGGTTGGTCACGTGTTTTGTGTGCCAGCGGAACGAATCCATTCGACAGTCCCTTTTGAACAACCAAGTGGAGAGTGGAAACGAGCCAGAGAATGACTTGGCAGCGAAATATGAAGGTCATTACTAGCGAACCTAGTTGAACCTACGTTCTTCGGGATTCGGACCGCACAACGGGACACATCAGCGGTCAGAGACACTGTTAGACATCAACAACTCCCGGGCCCGGCTGTCCTCATGCGTCCAAGCTGTGTATGGCAACCCTCCTCTATCTTCCCAGTGTAAAACACGCTGTCATTACTGGATTCATGCGTCAATTATATCAGCTATTGCCTCCAACTAGTAATTACCTACTCTTATTTTCCCAGATCATTGGCGAACAAAACTACGACAGCTACAAGTGTCGCACAGTACGTACGTGGTTTAAAGCTGAAGCTGACGATAATGGCAACTTCTCTCCCGTGAGGTTACTAAGACGGGGCATCGAGTAGCATTACACTGAAAGCCTACATGTCTGATGGCAGATGGGGGTTGTTACCGAACCCCCCTCCCTAAGTGGTTAGAGCGAGAACTTACCGACTGGATGGTCCGTGGTTCGAACCCGACCTCTGCGTCTCGACTTCTGTTTAGGCTGGCAGTATCCCAGCCCTCCTGCTTCCTTCGGGTGGCATGGCAACAAGGCACCGAAAGGGGATTATAGCTGAACCATTTTTTATCACCCGGGACCATACTTCATATACCCAGATCTAAAGCTGCCACCTTGAAGTGGTGATCGGGCTTGAGTGCTGCAATGATCCCACAGGCAACACTGGCTGAAACTTCGTTCCACAAGGTGCAACCATGCAACGAAAGTCAAACGGGAGCAGTCAGACCAAAAGTCGTACTGTCTTCCGCGATGGGAGTGTGAAGGCAGCAAGGAATTTCCCCAAGGCAATCAGTACGTCCATATTCAAGGCAGCGATGCTCCCTTCCCCAGAGAAAGGAAGGGACACCTTTGATCGCCAGACACTGTCAAAGTTTCTGACGATCGTCGGAATCGAAAGAAACTTTCAAATCCAGAGAAACGACCAACGTGGGAGGTCTAAAGGAGTGGCGCTGTTCAAAAATTTGTCTCAACGTAAAGATGTGGTCGATGCACCCTCGGCCGTGGCGGAACCCAGATTGATCCTGACGAGTCTGTCTCTCGCGATAATCTATCGACCTGCGCAAAATAATGCCAGAAAGCACTTTAGATGCGACCGACACCAGCCTGATACCACGATGGTCTTCATATGACGTTCTTGCTCCTTTTTGAAAACTGACGGTCGAGGAGCTCCATTCGGCTGGTATTTTGTTTTCGTTCCAAATCTTCTGCAGTATGGTTCTCAGACTGCTCACCAGGACGTGAGCAGTCTGAGAAGGTGAGGAGGTGTAGACAATTCGGACCAGGTGCCTAGTCGCGCTTCAGGATTGAAATATTACGCTGGATTCGGTTGCTGACAGTGGGTTGGTGTCAATGTTTCATTCGGGCCCGTTTGGTCCTTCCAGCGTTTTTGTTGAACGACACCGGGAGAATTGCTCTTGGAAGTGCTTAGCCCACCACTGAGGACGGCGATTGAGGGAGTGAATTGCTGTTTCGGCTTTTTCGCATATTGTCTCACTGATACCTGCCTTCCTTCGACCCGTTGATCGGATCAGTTGGAACAGGGCGCGGCTGTTGCCTGCAGCGAAAGCTTTCCCCATCTCATGGGCCTTCGAAATCCACCAGCGTTCTGTCATTCTTTTAGCTCCTGATTATCCGGTGTTTGAGGGATCTGCGTGTGCCATTATAGTAGCTAGTTGCTGGTATGGCCCTTCTGGCAGTAATAAGATCAACTGATCTCGAAGATATGCAGTGTTCATTGAGTCGAATCAGATGAGTTGGACAAACAGTTCTGAAAGCTGAGAACACTGCTTCTTTAACTCGCTCCATTCATCCTCCAAGCAACTTCGTCGTCTACATGACTATGCGTTTCTCGTAGCTTTTGGCCAGATTAGCTCGAAACCTTTCAGCTACTGAAACTTGCCGATGTTGACTGACGGAGCTGCTCTCTTTTAGCACGCGTTGTGCTGGCGGAGAGCGAAGTGCCAAGCGGTCTACGTGAGCAGAGTCAAGTTGCGTGCCTCAGAAATGACGAAAATCACTAACTGAAGCTCTCCATCGGTAACTGATAGCTATAAGGCAACGAATTTGCGTGAACCTCATGCCGTGGAAAAGGAAGGAGCGACTCTGCACGAGTGCAAGGTCGGAATGTAGATACGCGTTCCGAAACAGGCCGCAGTTAGTTGTTGATCCGCAGTGTGATCAATATGAGTTTGTGGCCGGCACACCGTTAGAGGACACCATGTGGCCAGGTGACTTCGGCTGATACGGGAGTTAGTACTGCATAAAAGCAGCCTGCGATCAGCACGGGGCTCAAGCAATCGTTCACCACTGCCCGTACGAACCAAGCCCAATCCATGTCGACCTCCTAACTAAACCTCAAATACGCTAAGCCTGTCCACTTGTGCATTTATATCTCCGGCAACCACCATGATGTCTAAGCTTTTAGCTCGTCGCAACAGGGCATTCGGGTGTCGTAAAACCCGTCTTTGACGGCGTTAGGAGCTACAGTCAGTTGGGGCGTAAGTGGACACGACAAACAGCGATCAGCGTCCCGCTTGTGAGACTCCTTCAAGAAGTTGCCAGACGAACCGCACAGAGACGATTATCAACAGGCATCCAGTCGAGTAAGGGTACTTCCGTCCGGTGACTTAGCACCATACCAACCTCCGCACATTCCGGCGCAGCAGCCTCTGGATCACCGGAGGTGCACAGCCGGAAGCGAGTGGAGACTGACAGCGCGGTTAGCTCAACCACCGTGCTTGCATCTCGAATTATCGTTTCTGTACGGCAGTGAAGCATCAGTGTCTACATTGATGTTGCTATCTTTGATGGTGATGATAATCTCGTTTCCGATACGCGGCACACATTAGTGCCAAGCGAGTTCAGTGTGTCAGTGAGAGCAGTTTGTTGTTCTGCATGCTTCAGAGAGCGGACATTGAAGACAGCCAAAAAGACTGGGCGTCGAGGCTTGAGGACTGATTTCGAGTGTCTGAGGTACCCCAAGGGTCAGTTCAGTTGCACTAATGGGGCTTCCGCTGCCACATATCACACGAAGAAACCGTTTTGAACGTTGTACGCGGACTGGTTGGTTTGAGAACCTTGGATGTGTGTGGTTGATTTTTCACTCTTGGAATGCGTATCTTCGAAAGCTCCCGCTTCCCGTTTGCATTTTTTATCTAAGTCCCTTATACAAATCCGTTGGCTCGAATAATTTCCTTATTTATATTCACCAACCTTTAATTTCATCATTGAACTGCGTAGCTACCATCTTTACTATCAGCTTTATGAATACTCAAATGTTCGCCACATTGCAACTAAGGTTTGTCCCCATTTTACTCACTTTACCATTAGTACCGCATTGAACTATGTTCATCAAATACCTTCTGACGTTATTGTCACTTAATTACTCATAATCATCTTGACTGCGCATCTTGCAGGGTGAGTCCGACAGCTTGTTGCATGCGACCCGTGGACCTAAGATGACGGAGATGACATCGGTAATCAGCGTCCCCTGTTCCCTTTTAAGTGAAAACTAAGCTTGATTACCTCAGGAGGAGGAATGTTGTCAGGATGAATTTTGTGGATGGACCAACAAACTTGTACTCACTTGATCTCCGGCTACGCCAGTCTCCAGGAAGTCCCTCAAGAACCGTCATCTTTTCTTGCTGCGTTTCATTTAAGGGACCGTACTTCCCGTTGCATGATGAACAAGGGGCCAGAATAAGGGGCTGAATACCACCCGACTTCCTCCCGTATCGAACCATGACTAGAGAAACTTATATATTTAGCACGGAAACGATCTCACATATAGGTGCACGCCCCGTGAGCTTGGACTGCTTTAATACATAAGACAGTGCACTCGACGCAAAATTGTTCATACTGTTCAACCAGCGGTCAATTCACTACGTGTGCCGAAAACAGGTTGCGCCAGCGGCCAACCAAGGTGGGATCTCGCAGCTGATTGGATTTCAGCTTTCAGGTTCACTGCGTTTGCATACGAGTAGATTCGTAAGTTACCGATTTTGATCCAAGATTGGAATTGCGTATCTAAAAAGCAAAGGGTAAAGAATGAGACCTATCAACTTATGGGGATGGACTTTAGAGGCACATACACTGGCCAGAGGCCGATCACTAGGCGAAGACCGGAAATAATTTCGCTGTAACTACGGGGCTTTCGAAGTGGATAAGTTCAAATGAAATTAGTCCAGTCGAGACAGCTTGCTGACGGTTATGTGTTTAAGTGCGCATGCTACTTAGGTCATCAAACGCCGCCAACTCGAACGTAAGCGGCAGATGCATGGACTTCCAAATACTCTATGGGGCCTACGTCAGACCGCTCCCTCCGTACGCCAACCAAGTTGTCTACTCAGGACGTACGAAAGACGTTACCCTCATTGAGCGTGTCCAGCGGGCCGCCACGAGAATGGTTGCCGGCCTCAAGTCCGTGGACTACGAAACGCGTCTCGCGACGCTTGATCTCTTTCCCATGTAGTACCGTCGCCTCCGAGGGGACCTAATTCTCACCTACGCCCTGTTTGAACAAAGCTTGACAAACAGGTTTTTTACCGTTGACCCAGCAAACACCCGGCGAGGACATAGTAAGAAAATTTTCAAGCTCAGGGCACACACATTCATTAGACAAAACTTTTTTTCATTTCGGGTAGTAGCTGCGTGGAATGACCTTCCTCCGACGGTTGTACACGCTCCTTCTCGAACCCAATTTAAAGCACTATTAGACATTTATTTATGCGAATCCTCGCGCTGGCGAGCATACTGCCCCGCGCTGAGAACATAAAGAGCAGTGCTACACCCTCTTTTCAATTGTGCCTTTCAGGTGAACGCCAGCCATTGATCGACAGGAACAAAACCGACCCGGGAAACTTGGGCAAAAGCCTCGATCCTGTGTATCAATCCGTGAATCCGTGAATCCGTGAATGCTAATAAAGGAGGGGACCGTTGGTCGCACAATGCTCTTAGCTGTAAAACCCTTGTGAGTAGAATAAAATTTTGTTGCGTTTATATTGACACCGAAAATCATCCTAATCTAAGTTCGTATTTTCATAGCTCATAAATTTCACTGTCCAGTGAAACAGACACACCCCAGGTGAAAAATATCTGGAATACTTTCCTAACATTGTTGAGACCAGCGGATGCCTAGATGTGGCTCAAAAGGTCGGACACGTACTCCGAACTCAGTTGCCTTTCGCTTTCAGTCTATCAGGGACACGTCCTAGCTTTCGAAAATTGAATCACACTGTGCGAATAGTGAAAGCCCGTAAGGCATAAATGTACAAAGTCGATGCTGATCAAGATAGGCTCCATACTATCCAGAGCACGTTACACCTTGCCAGACACCTGAATCACGTTAGGGCCCGTTCCAGTCCTCTAGTGAGATGAAATAGGTGAAATTCGACACGGCATTATTGTTAGTGACACTCACGATTTTCAAGTCCCATATTCAAGGATGACTCGGTACTCGGTGCCACACTGGTTTGAGTGATGCTATACTCAGCTTTGTCAATAACACCCCGTTTCAGTTATTTTTATCCAGTTATCATGGATATGCTGCATACATTTTGTTGCCTTTCTTGCGGGGATTTCATCCCATTAAAAATATTTTTAGATTCTGCCAGGGCGGAAGGATGCATCAGAAGTTTTGTTCTCACCCAGTATCGTCGCCTCCCTAAGCTCTAATGCTCACTTATGCCCTGCTGGAACAAGGTTGGACCAGCAGTTTTTAACTTTGGACAGACTAACACACGACGGGGAAACGGTAAGAAGCTGTTCACACCCGCAGCACACTTAACACACGCTGCACTTAACACCCAGTTTAAAGCACTTTTAGACGTTTTTCATATGGGCTCTTGCCCTGGCGAAATTACCTCCCTCGCAGGGAATTAGGGAGTAGTACCACACACTTCATTCACACGTACTTGAACGGGAGTGCTGAATGACAGCGATAAACCTTACTAGAAAACCTTTGGCTAAAGTCTCGATCTTTTGTATCGGTCCGTGAATCCGTGAATCGATAACCAAATATCATAATGTTAGCTTTTTGCGCCGTCGCCCGGATTCGTCCAAGTCTGAATATTATGAAGGCAAATTGGGCAATGGCTCCCTTTTATTTAATTACAGCAACGGAACGGTTATTACGCGTGGTATCCCCATCCGTTCTTTTTCGTTAATTGCCCCCACCGGACGAATGATGCCAGTTTATTGTCTTGTATTTTTTGTATCATGGCTAACTCATCAATTGTACCGTTTGTCACATTGCTAATAATAAAACGGAGTCCATGTTCAGTTTTGCTGTCCAAAAGTTTAATACTTTCATACGGATTGTAATTTACCTGATACTAGGCTCCGATGTCCTGTGTTTGGGAGTAGGTTTCTAACGGGATTGGTGTGCGGACATGTAAGGCTGGCAGTGAGTGCCGGTTAGCGACACCTAGCCATCCTCGGCGCCTGTACAATGGCAAAGGAGTTTCGCTGAATCTGAAGTGGTGATGCCGACGTCTCGAGATGTGCGCATGACTGGATACAGACGAGCATGACGCTAAGGGGCATCACTCACAAGGCGGTTGTAAAGGTGGCCTATCTTTTTGAGTAAGACATGGTCCCTCATGTTCGAGGTGTCTTTAAATTTTCTCCCAGTGCTGTTGATTTGGTGGACGATTGTGGAGTAATCGGGTACCTGGTTGCGAATAGGACTCTGGTGCAACAGGGTAAACATGCCTGTCAGGGGTGTCCGAAGCGTGTGTTACACAGGCCCAACAGCCGTCCACTCTGCTCAAGGTGAATTTCTGCCGGCAGAATGCAGGCCACGATTTGGTATCCTGAAATGATAACCACCACGGTCCAAATGAGTATTTCATCTTTTGACACGTTGCACGATGAACTCACCAAAATTTTGTGTCTGCACAGCACCGACGAATCGCATACTTTTCGTTCCAAAGAATGGTGACGACCACAGTCGGAACACAACCATGATTTCCTGCCAAGATATAACTGGCACGGCAGTAGAGTAGCTACGTGTGAAAAGTCAAATTTTATTTCAGAATTTTGCTGTCAATATTTATTTAGTTTTGCTGGCATGGAGCAGGTTGCGGTAACTGGAACCAAGCTGCGTAACGCAATATAATAATGCAGCATTTGCTGCACCTACTCGACTGCGCTCGACTGCTAGACGAAGGTGTTATTTTGCGACGTACCTTTGAGACCAGGATAACGCAATGTTCGTCGGTCGAGTGCGACGACAGTAAAATCCATGTTATTTAGACTTTGACCAGAACACACCATCGTACCGATTTACGCGGGGGACGACTTCAGACACGAAAACCGGTCTTGGCATGTACAACCGAAGTATGGTTGGGGGAGCGACCCAGTTTCGAGGCAAAATAACCCTGAATACTATACCCCTAAATCCTGCGTCCTTTCGTCCGTCATTTAAGGTCTTATGGTCATTTATGGCGGACAAGGATAGTTGGAGGAAATATACCTTCTGCAAACCGTGTATTCATATGTTGGATGAAACCGGAGGGTCGTGAGTACTGTTGGCACAGGATGAACGAAAACTGGGTAATTCGCGCTGAATTAAGGCACGTTTTAACGCAGCGAATTACATTTCTCATTATTTTGCATACACGTGATATACGTGATACATGTGAGGATAATAGAGGGCAGTTCGGATCGTGCCGGACTGCAGAGCTTCGGTTGCCGGAGTCCGCATGTGCCTTCATTAATCCAGTGGTGTAGGCCTGGCCGTGAACACTACCGCTGTGGACAAGGTGCCCTTTTCTGCAGATAGAAGAGCCAGTGTTTCAAGTTCCATCCACCCCTCCAGCCTGAATTACCAGGCGCTTCATTGTGGGATGTTGCCTACTCTTTGACCTAACCCTTTTCCTTCTCACCTCCGGTGAACACACCGCACGCCAACTGTTTGGACTCCTCTGGCCAGTAACCTAACCCACCCACTCATCCACCCACATTTTTCAAAATGTTATTTCAACTTTCTAGCAATAATTTATGGCAGTCATTTGGTTTTTAGCTCAGGTTTTCCTTTGTTCATCAAGATATATCTGCTTCAATAGGATAAAGCTGACGATTTGTCCACTTCAAAAAATCCCCGATACTGCCATCTCCCGATTCAGGGCCGTGCCTCAATAGAGGGCGCCCTTGTTCGCGGGCATTCTAATGTATGCGGAATCCAATTTACCGCTTAGTACAGTGTGCCCACTTCAGTACAATGGACCGCTTTTGCGCAAACTTGAAGAATTTAGGCATGAACACTGCGCTCGAAGAGGCATTAATTCGCACCTTCGTACCACGCAAGCGCTCTACTGTGGGCTTTTCCCCTCTATCTTAATAATAGAGGCATTTCAATGACTGAGTTTTCATACCGCCGAAGTAAAGGTAAACCGTTTTATTATGCTTTCCCTGGCCCCGTTAGAGGTCGCTACCTATGCTTCTAAGGAACGTCCCCCCCAGCTGATTGGCGCAAAAGACAAAACGAAGGACGAAGACTTGTTCTTGCGTAAGCACCATTGAAAGCGACCTCCAGTAACACATAGTGGTCAAAAAATCCGAACCCCTACAATATCAGCAAGTCTTGGACAGCGTTATCCTACGCCGCAGGACTCATTTAAGGCTGTCGGAATCCTCTAGATGATACCAGTAGTAATAATAGTTTATTTTCTAACATTTAGGAGGCATACCTATTGAGTCACGATCGGGTCGTCACAGCCTGAACGCAGCAGGTAACAACGCAACGGGACGTCGCAACCACCGGGTTATGCTTATTACGTGAAAACTCACCGCACTTGCGGGGACCAAATAGAGAATAAAACTTTGCCTAAGCTATGACATTCCTCTCAGGTGTTGGACTTCTTTCAAATTCTTCATCTGTATTCGCTAGAATGGTCGGAGCTCTGCGGGTGGCTGTCAAGGCGGAACTGTGTTATTGGCCACGACATCCTTATACAGCTTTTGAAATGTAGCCTCCCATTTTCAGCAAGTGATATGTCGGATCATTCAGTGGCATAAATTCTGGGATTCGAAAGTATCGTAGTCGCCCCGCCGGCATATAACTCATCAGGCACAAGAGTACAAGTGAACGATATTTTGGGAACCACAGCCATTCACAACACGTCTTGACGCCGGAACCTTCAGCCGTACAATACCATGAGGGACGAGATCACGCCAGCCGCTGACTACAGGAGTTATGGTCAAATGGAGCGAAATTTACGCAATGAACCAGGCCGGAAGACGTGTTTCTAGTCTGATGAATTGACCGTGGCCCAGGTGAATAAATTATCTGAGTTTTCAATGCTCTGGGAACAACCCCAAATCTTCGGTCGCACACAGTTACTTGTAAAAATAATAAGTAATAATGTTCATTCCCAATTTGTGGTTGGCATACCGTCTGGCAGGATCATACGTTTACAGTCAGAGAAGCATGAATGAGGGATTAGCGATTAAGGGTGATTGCGCGAAAAGAGGACAATATCACATGCAGTGGTCAATATTCAAGGAAATAATAATAATAGGTTTATTTCTCGAATTGTAGAAAACAATTGGCATGAGTTCCGACTAGTTTAAAGACGTAACCGGCTGACATGAGCTAAAGCTGAAATTATTAATGGTATTTACTCCAAATTTGTGGGTGGCATACCGTCAGGCATGATCATGATGTTGCAGTCAGAGTAAAAGCATGGCTTCCGGGACTGTGTGTACAAGAAGTTAAGGAGAAGGGACAACGTAATCAGCGGTAAGCATTATCCGGCACATTTACAGTCAAAATAAAGCAGGACGGGGAGGGCGGTTACTGGAGAGTACGCAAAAAAGGACATTGTCAAAAACAGTAGGCAATATCTGATGAAAATATTAATAAGTTCGTTTACCGACTGATAGGGAGCATGCCGATTGAGGCGTGATCGGGCCGTTGCAACCTGAACGCGGCAGACAACAACACAACGGGGAGAAGGCAGAACCAACAAGGCATGCTTATTACATAAAAAGTCATCGCAGGTGCAGAAACCGAAAAAAACAGGACAGCGGGCATGAAGTCTGACTAGTTCGAAGATGAGGCCAGCTGGCATGAACTGAAAGTGAGAACCGTTGCTGGCCATGAGTAACCCTGGGAGGTTGAGTAAACTGCCAGGGTCACAAAAGTGGAGATGGAGGTGGAATAATTTGAAGTGAAATCAAATGGCAAGTCTTGTCTCAAAATATTGCTACATTGAAGCTAAGTAGACTCGATAGTAGGGGATGCAGGTGTAAAGGATAGATTCAATGGAAAGGTAGTGCTAAACCATGGTCCCAAACGAACACCGTATATGGAATTGAACTTTTAGAAGGGGCAAACCGAAATTGCAGTAGAAAACCAGGTTGATTAAATCTGAGCGAAAGCTTCATCGGGTCTGAATGAACTCGTCATAGAGGCGGTGGTGGCCAGGTGAGAAACTGACTCATAGTTGCAACAACAGGCTTGAGTGAGTGAGAGTTTGCGGTCGAAATTCTAAAGAAAACAGTTTCGGGAGCGCCAAACACACTGGGTCTCGCAGCGCCATGTCATCATTGCACTGACATACTCGGGTTTATGGTCAAACCCGTAACGGTTGTAAAGGATGCCGCCATAGTAGAGGGAATAAGCACTTCAGTGGCAGCTGGATTTGAGCCATGCGAGGAGATTGACACAGATGTAGTCAGGCTGATGCAAGGTTGTGGATAATTTCCCTTTGTTTTAAAGGGCCCTGTGACTGTAGACCGGGGACCAGCCAGATTTAACAAATAAAGTTTGTATGGGGCGTTTGTGTAACTGCAGCAGAACTTTTGGACTTTAAAAGAGGGTGAATGAAGAAGGAATAGGGTGAGAGTAGTATCGTCTAGTGAGTGATAGGAGGCATCAGATAAAACGGTGTCAATTATGCACTCCAGCCTTCGGTGGACCCTTTTCAATTGGAAACGTTCGGTGCTTTGTTTTGGTTGTGAATGATAAAAACCACGCAAGCGCATTTGGAATAATTATGTGAACAAATTTGGTACATATGCGCATTTGGAGATATTTGGAAACTGCCAAGTGTTATTGAAATTATTTTCTTTTCAAAAAATTTGGGAATAAGGAAAGGTTTTCCCGATTATCCACGTCCGCATTAATGCGCCTCAAGAACTGCAAGATTTCTGCCGGTAAACAAATGGCGTTAGATATGTTTTTGAGGTTAACCTACGTATCGCGTTTTTCTGACGTTTTCATCCGTATATTGCATTGACAGGAACTGACGAAGGAGCATGTGGTGCTCTCGCTCTCTTAATCCGATGGGCATGACAGATAGTTTAAAACCATACTGTTGAAATCATTCAGTGCACGCGTGACCAGTCTGAAAGTTAGCACTTGACTTAGCTCCGTACAGGTGCGGAGGCAAGCGCCTTTTACTCATGAGTTTCCGATGAAACTGAATTGACTGAACAGGGTGAAAAAATTGGTGTGATAAATGAATTCTAAGTTGCCGTTTAAATGAGGCGACTGATTGGAAATTACCTCGGCTTCGGTCGCTAAAGCACAGTAATGCGTAGCTTATAAGCATTTTAAGCACGCTTACTAGAAGTAAAAAAGCTGAAATGGAAATAATTTATGAAGCAAATTAATTTCTTCAGTTTATGCGATAAGCTTTGCTTGTATCGCATCCTTCCTGCGACGGAACAAATTATGTGTCGTTTGTAAATCAATATAGAACGTCTGCGGCTCCATACTCTGGGTGTGCAAGCAACGGAAGGCAGACCAAACATAGGAGAAAATTTGATCGCTCCAAATACATCGTTTACGGTGGTCTTGTGTAAATTATTCTAACCTTTATTATTTGCGGTAAAAAATGGTTTATTTGTGACCTTGCAGTTTAGCTTGTTTGGTGCAAGGGACGCCGCAAAATCGTTTGCACATGGCAATGGAGGGCAATCATACTGGTCCCTATTTTTGAGAGAAAATTACTTATGAGATGCCGTTTCATACTTTCTTGGTGGTGCGTGAACAAGAACAATATTTCAAAACACCTTGAGGGAATCTGTAGATGTGATGGACCCAGGCAACGCCCTAGGGCCGTTTCTTCCGCATTATATTAAGTGACTGCTGATTGAAAACTGCCGGCTAACGTAGCATAGACTCAAATTCTCAGGCACGAGAGCAGTAATTCTTCCTTGCTTTCCACGATTAAATTTGACATAATAAGAAAACGATTCATTGCTACAACTTACAAAAGATTTCAGATGCGTGCATTCTGTTCTGTTCTACAATGTTCTGCTTTTGAACTGAGCACCATTTTGGATACAGCCCGATTATATGCTCCGAAATTGGGCTTCTTGCATTGTGAGGGCTGTTGACCTAATAGGTTTTAGTTGATGCTATTTCACTCGTCTCCATTACGCATGAAAAAATTCATCATAAGATGAAAGGGAAATTAAAATGCAAACATTTCCCAGAAAATCATTTATATCGTCCATTATGTTGACATCCAAAATCTCCCACGTTTTTTCTGTTTCTATTCGTGGCACTGCTCTACTTTTTGCTTATTGCGTGCGTGTAAATTAGTGTTTCTTTTCCTTATCAATTTACTCCTTCGACTTCGGTGTCATTAGGCAATTTTCGACCGACCATAGGCTCGTGCGACTGTCTAATGTAAAGGCCTGTTTGCCCACTTGGTTCGAACATTTATAGTCCAAGTGAACCATTTTTTGTGGACGGTATCTACTGTTATCTTTGTGTTTTGTGAATTTATGCCATATGATAGTGGCGCGTAATGAAACCCAGCTCTAAGTTTGCTTTGCCATCCCGGATTTTCCGGTATTACGCTTGCCTCGAAGATACCCTTCGGCCGATACAAACGGACTACTGAAGTTTGAACTGTTTTCCAAGCTAGAACGCGCTATTAATATGCTTGAAAGTCTAAATTGAAAACTTATCAGGAATGTTAACGTGGCTTGACAGTTCCTTACTCTGAAAAATCCTCGCGGATAAATCTGTTTTCCCCCGGACTCCTGCAAGTTTTGGGGATCCCTTCCGACCACCTTGAACCTTCTTATCTGGAATCCATCCAGGTTTGAAGGAATGCATGTAAAGTCATTGGAAGCTTCTTCATTTCAGTCTTGTCATTTTGGACCGCACCGCCAACAGCACGCTTTGCCTAATAGAGTACTTCGAAAACCCTTTGAAAAACAATGATACCTGGTAGCATGTAAGATTTGGAGAATTAGAACACCACAACGAAGCAAATTGGGGTACCAATAGGTGGTGGACTTGATAAGCTGACAGTGGTTGGTCGATAAATGTAGCACATTCGACCCAAGCGAAAGGGTAACCGCGGATTCGAGTTAAATCCCCGTAAAATGATTTCCTGCCATCTTCTAGGGACACTATCCAGTAAAGGTAATAATTTCCTCCCATCTTGTTAAACAGCCTCCATGGAATCAATGTTTTTGAGTCTGTTCTATTGCATTCGTTGCTACTGAAAACCTTGCCAACCATTATATCTGAGACCCATTTCAAATCTTCTCTGACTGCTGACACGAATAGTTGACCTGCTTGGACTTCTGATTTTTTACTAGGTAAGGCGCGTGGAGTCCTCGTCAGCCTAAGTGTATAATAATATTATGGCGGAAGGAAGAAACATCGGCGATATGCTCACTAAGTTCAGGTTGTATAGGTAAAATACTGCCAGAGTACAAGTTAACGAGCAGGAGTATAATACTCCATGAATTCAGAATGATTAGTTGTTTGCTTTGTTAATGGATGGCTTGTAATTGTGCCATGGAACAAAAGTTAAAAATGAGCTTCTGACTGTCCGAGCGATTGCGATAGATACATTGCTGGTATGAGCAAAAACAATGGTCGATATATTGCACTTCAGAGAATCTCATAAACGAGCAACTGATCTACTCTGAATGGGCGACATTTCACGGATAGCCGGTCGTGATTCATTCGTGTTGCTCCACTTCCCTAAAGGTACATAGCAGTTTCTGTGGTTGTTCCGATTAGTTCGGCTAATATTCAGTTGTATGCTCCAGGCTTGAATCAAGTATTTTACGTGGGCTTCAGATTGTTACACAGAAATTTGAGAAGTATCAGAAGTAGAAAAACTACTCCCGTGAAGATCAAACCCGAAATCAACGGTGGTGATGGCCACAGTACGATTCAAGAGAGAGGAAAGACATTCCTTGTCATTCTCTGTAATCTTCTCCGCTGAAATTCTCGATACAAAACTTTCAGTGAGGCGTAAGTTCGGAAATTCCGAGTATCAAAAAGGAATCGGGTTCGTAATTCTACGGTGCTATTTACACAAGCGTAGGCAAAAGTGCACAGCAAACGCCCACTGTTCACGTTCGTAGCACCCACAATTTCACAGTTCTGTCACTGACTGGCACAAGGCAGTGTCAACGTCCGCGCACCAAACAACTGCGAGCGGAATGATGGCTCAGTGGCGTGGGTTGCAGTTGTTCCTTCCGACGACAGTCTCGTGATTCTCAGTGAACGTGTGACCACACGAAACTCATGAGAAAACAAGTCAGGGTGGGCTCAGAAAAAGGGTCTAGAACGCGCTTGGGTAAGTAGGTCAGCAGCATACATATACACAGACACATGCCAATACACAAGTGTCGGACAGGGCGGCCTCTGAGGTAGGGTGAATGGCGGATAAGGATAAGCAAAACAACTGAGGATCAAAAGTACATAGGTGGAGTAAGAGAATGAATGAAGGGATTGCCATAAGGTTAAGTTAGATTCAACACTCCCTTCCAGTTGGCTCCTTAGTAAACACCTTTGGAAGTTGGTGGAGCATTAATTCGGTAAACTAAGGCCATCGGAGCACTTTTTCGAACGTTTCGAGCAATGTTTTAATGCCCGTTGAAGTAAGAGATTTAGATGAACTGTTATAAAGTTGTTTTTCGCGGCCGTTTGAATCCAGCACAAAATATGAACGTTCTTGAGGATGCAAATAGCGCCTCACACCAGAGCATCCAGGAAGGCAAATAAACATAGGAGCTGAGTTTCTATATGGCACCGAAAAGGCTGGACATCAGCGTCAGAAAATACACAAACCCCGGCAGTATATACCCGTTTACAACAAAAGTCCCATTTGGACTATGAGATTAGAAACCAAAGAGCAAAAGGCTCCCACGTGAGACAGTCACAGATGCATAAGGTCGGCTAGAGACACACCTGTCAATACATAAGTGTCAAACAGGTCGACCTCTGGGGCAATGTGGGGCGCGGGTGAGAATAAGCAAAACCACTGGAGATCAAAAGTACATAGGCGGAGTAAGCATATGAATGTAGGAATTATCATAAAGTCAAGTCAGGTTTAACACGGGTGTGCTTTCAAACTGAGTGTGGCAGTTCCGGGAAATCACTGGTCCCAAATACTTCGGTTTTTGGACGGACTCGCAGTGAACGTCATTTGTCCGACCTGTCGCGGTCTCTTGACAGCCACGCAATTGGCTTCGATGCTGTAGCGATTAAACGGAGAGAGTGAATTTCTGTGGGCAGTAAGATATTAGGTTAGTCAAGTGGATCCACAAAGGCAGGAAAAAGGTGACTTCGGTTCAGTGAAAGATTCATATATGTGCAAAGCGGAGACTAACGATTATCGATGATTATCATGCGGAACATTTGGAGCAGCTACAACCGAATGACGAAGGTTGGGATTAGGAGTAAATGAAATGAGATCAGTAAAGCCTGATATGTTTTGAAAGCTATCGAGTTGCTGGAAATTCAATAACGGGCAATTACCTTATATTTATTACAGTAAGAAAGTTGACAGCAAATTGTTACATTGGTCAGAATGACGGTAGATTTGTGCTGAGTAACCTGGCAACCGAGCGCTGACCAATGCTGCAGGTTGTTAGTAATATGGCACCAATGGGGTAGAAGAAGAAGTTATGAATGCCAACCACTATAAGGAAATGCAAGTGAATTTCACGATGACGACACTGTCCCGGGGTTGGGATCTTTACGAAACAGTGTGATAAGGCCGCAAGATTCTGTCATATGTTACTGAAGGCTTTTTGCTTAAGTCAGCGAGCTCTCAGGGTCACCAACCGTCAAGGACTGGCATGTGGTTACCAGATTATGAGAGGGAGCATAAAATAAATTCTTAGCATATCCTAAATGTTCGTAGGGTTCTTTAGACGAGAGGTAACAGTTGCAGAATTTTCCACATAAATTACAGACAAACGTTTGAATCCGCTATGCTCGTCAGACGTGACAAATTGGGCAAGTTATTCTCCGAAATTCGGTACAACTCTGTTTTGAAAGGCTTGCGTATGGAATCACAACCGAGAAAAAACCTAATGTGTAATTCAAAATTGATGCAAAAATACGCTTCTATGAAGATTCTTATTTTAAGTTTTAAGCAAAAATTCAAAAGATAATGGAGGCCTTCCGGACGTGAATTACCATTTCCCAAATAAGAGATATTTCCATTTGGGAAGCGCGAATTAACGTATTATTATTAGTTTTTTGTCTTGAAGCTAAAGGCAATTTTCGGAAAATACAACCAACCAACGCGCTTCATTTTGATAACCGCACGTGCTTTTGTTTACCTTGTCTACTTATCGTGGCTGCTAGACCCCTTTGCATGTACAGCGCTGGACATAATGTCATAACTGCGCATAATAGCCAAATTCAACAGCTAATGCAGTCCTTGTTACTCTTAATTGTTGTCCGTCCACCATGTTAACGTCTGAAAAAGACACAACCACCTTCATCGCGTTGTGCTTCATTTGTTAGTTTCATCTGTACGCACGTAATGAGTAGTCATTCCAGTTTGCGTTCTCCGGAACTCAACTTCACTTGATTAGGATTCTGAAAGGGAAAACCTATAATCCGTTACATATCTTCATTAACATTTTCCCGCTTTCCTGCTGTTGCAGAGCGGATCTGGTACTTATTGAATTGTTCCATTGTCAATAGTGATGGATCTTTTTTTACATTGATGATGCAATATAGAATTTTAGCTATTAAATATATTATTATACGTAGAAAAGTCGAAGATGAAGTTTAGTGCATCTAAAGCAGTCTTAAGATCAAGCATTGTAGATTTCCCCCTTGAAAACAAGGGAATAATGCGTCTTCAGACGTGTATCCCTGGGTCTGGCCGCGGCAGCGATATAGTAAGTGGGTGTATGACAAATTTGTTATTAAATCTTCTTCTACAGAGCATTAAATCCTCACTTCTGTTCTTATCATCTGCGTCCTTTAGATCACTAGAAAAAACGGCCAATCGTTTCTCGCACCAGGAACAACTATCCTTCCAGTTATTACACACTACAACTCAACAATTCGGTGCACGCATAGTCAACTCTATTTACTGCACCACCACTTCTCCCCACCACCCAATAACGTTTAACTTCCTAATTCAACCAATGTACTCGTCACTGAAACCATCAATGATCTTACAAAATGCGCAGAAAATTAAAAAGAAAGCCGGTTTCGACGAAGGCCTTTGAAGCTGAAATATGGCTATGTAGCAAGTAATCGGGAATTCCAGATACAAATGTTAACCCTCCACTGCATTGTAGGTGAAAAGTTTCATACGTCAACTAAGGAAGTCTCTCAAAACGAACGCAGTGAGGAGTCACTGAAGTAGTATGTTCAGCCTCCACCCTTTTCTTGAGGATGTGACTGCGCCATGCGGAGTTCCCATCCCCGTCAAAACAAGCAACACGACCAGGTTTTCCAATTTTTCTCAAATTTCCCGACCATGTGGGACTTGAATTATCGATTTTTCTAACATTCAAATTCGGGGATTGGTGGACAATGTTTTTTGCGCGGCATGTATTACCAGAAATCTATCCATATTTTCAGATACAGCATGTGCTGACCGCCATAAAAAATCCACCAATCTTCTTAGCTGTAACGAATTATCTTAATTTGGCGAGTCGCTTGCGCCAACGAGGAGAAACATTTTGCTACTTAGTTTTTAGGAGTCCGGTACGCTATCAGCTCGCGTTGCCAAGTACAACGTGATCCTTGTTCCGAGTCCTATGCAAGAGGCAACACGTGAAGAATCAAACTTTTTACAACATTTCACACTGTCATCACGAAAACACTATCTTAAGTGATATCAATGTCCCGTTTTTTATTGTACCGATTATTCTATTTTTGGTTATGCGTTTTGGTTGATTATTGATGTTTTATAACACATCCGTCCATGAAACCAGTTCTCAAAATTCTCAACAGAGAACCTACTGCTTTCCTATTTCCCGTTATACTGTTCTCTGGGAAAGAAATAAATGTAGTAAAATAGCTCCGAACATCTTGTGAGGTCCTCGGCTGCCTGGATCTTGCAGTGCTCTTATGCGGAATTAATGAATAAATGCCCATCACTAAGCTACCGTTGATGGGCGGGGCACCCATAATACTGGAGGAGCGACGAGTATAGTTATGTAAGATTATGCAGCGCGATCGGGCCTAACTCCATGCAGAGCATATTCAACCACTAGCCTGCGAATATTATCAAGTATGCGATGTGACACACTCCGAGACACAATTATCGCGCCTTGTGCATCAACAACCCCCAGCTACAAACCGCTATCCCATTAGGAGTAAGGCCAGGCCAGTAAAGCAGTTCAATCAGTGTCAAATAGTAAAGAGCCATTCGAGCAATTATGAAGCGATGTAAGCAAAGGAAACAGCAGTCACCGTGTTGCAGTGTGAATAGAATGATGACATTCAGAACGTCTGCGCCATAACGCACGCGTTATCATGACGACAGAGCAGTGATGGGAACCGCCATCTCAAGCATGGGCTTAATGCAATATTCTGTGTGTGCTTAATAGATCGTACGGTCATACAAGTATTTCATCCATTTCGTCTCACCTGACCGACTGTTTTTATAGACTCCTTAAGCGCTCTCCTGACCAAAAAACCGACATTGGTTTGGTCCATGTTAGTTATCGCCTGGCAAAACGAACCACTAAAAATTAAACGTGACTGAACGGAAATGCAGTTCCGGGATCTACCTGGAAGAACCAATGCATAAGTTGTCTGAAAACGCAGGGACGGCAATGTGGCAAATCAAAATCGAGAAGATGGCAGGTATAATCACGGAATCATCTGATTTTCGTCCAACAAATTTACCGGTACCAAAGTATAGCGTGCCTTGGACTGGGAAATTGGGGGAATCTCTGGGGCTTTGGGTACTGTCTTGGCAGCCTTACAAGTGAGAGTTATCTTTGGACTGAAAAAGCCTAATTGCAGGTGCTATTTTGAGATGGACTGGAGGGATACCTTCAGATGCAAGAGTAGTTATCCAGGATTAAATGGGGAACTCGGTTTAAACAAGCTAAATGATATACTGGGGGTGATGGAGTTACGGGACTTATAGCAGAGGCAGGAATCGACGATCGGCCTAGCCTCTGCTATAAGGGCTATAAAGACACTGACGGTGCACAGAGCTAGGTTTGGCTTAGCTCCTTGAGTCTTGGTGGCTCAGCGTCAGCAGAGGTCGGGGTTAGAATGGACTGTGCGAACAGCTTTTGGTGAATAGGCACTGAGCGTTCTCAAATGCTAGTATAAAGAAAAAAGGATACAGAACAACACTTCTTGATTGATCGCAGGTAATGCTTAAAAATTGCCACATTTGGGCTGTAATATGTTAAAAACAAACTGTGAGGAAGCAGAGCCTGCATGCCGGAGTGACCTGGACCTGAAACTGGTAGAAAAAAGGAGGGATGGCAAAGTGAGTAAGACCAGGATCTCTGATTCCAATGGAATGGGGGACCGTCTGGAAGATAAACACGAAGAGCGTTTAGAGTCCGCAGACCCACCAGCGCTCGACGAACCGCAGCAATAATACCATTGCGTGCCAATAAAGTTGGAAGATTATGTTCAGGTAAATAATCTCTTCCAGGGGAGTATGCTTTTAACAATATCAAAAAATACACAGAAGACATCAAAGGCCTGTAGTTCAAAGTTTTCGGGTGACGGAGAGAACGAAGAGACCTCTGTAATTTTATGTATCTCATCCTAAGTGAGGACTTGATCGCGGCGCACGCAGATGACTGACACCTCTTACGAAAGTGGACTCCTCCTAAATGGTTCCCGAGTGACAAAAGTACTCGTATTTGTATAAAGCCTAACTCAGACTAAAGACGGAAGGTCCCATTTGGTTGCCATTTCTGTCGTTTTCATCAAAGAATTCGATCAAAGCACACACGGCCCACTGTTTCATAAACTCGGGTTCTATGAAAATCAAAGAGAAAGTCCATGCCGGATTTCGATGTTCCAATTATACAGTTTATCCTTACTCTTTTTCTGCACTCGTCTTCGCTGGAGTTTTTCATATATCCGTTTGAGGACTATTCTGATTGCTAATCTACCTAATCTAATTTCTAGATACACCTTCAGGTCCTCGCCTACTTTTTGAGGATGACCTGAAATTCTGGAGTTTGAACACTAGCGCCCCCCGAATGGATCTTGGCACCTGAAAGTAGTGGCCATCGAACCCATTTTTCTTGAGTACCAAAAAGTGCGTTCATAGGTCGCGCGGATGAGGCTCAGCAAGCGCCTCTATCGTGCACTTGGAGAACAATTCAGAACACCCTCCTTGAAGTAGATTCCATAAATATCTGGTCCTCGTTAATCAAGTCCTCAGATTTTAATAATGGACTCAAAGTTCTAATGTTCTTCTACGGATGGTCCCCCGAAGCTTTCCTCGCATTCATCTTATGGATTTGCAGATGTCTCCTGAGGCCCACGTTATAATAGTGATGGTGGTTAAGTTTTCAATTTTTATGGGGCAAACCAGTTCAGCCATGATCAACCGTTGCAGCATGGACGTGGTGAACAACAAGGGGGAATGCCGGATCAAATAGACAGGATCACCATGTGGGAACTCAGCGTAGGTTGTAAAAACCAAAAAACATGAAAACAAGATATGAGGTAAGACTACCACAATGATGGATCCGTTTGACTTGAACTGAAACTGAAAAATCGCTTTCGATTGTCAGCAACCCTGGGAGGTTGGGTGGATGGCTGGGGTCACGGAAGCACAAGTAGCGATGCAGAGATGGGGAATAAAAAGCGGAGGCAAACAGCAGGATTCGCCTTAAAAACTTGGTTTCATTTGAAACTGTAAAACTCACTGGTGTCGATGTCGAGGGGAAATCGGATTTAAAAGCTATTTTCGGGGAAAAAGTAGTGCTAACGCAAAAAGCCAACTGAGCATCGTAAACTGAATCGTTGAAGATTCTGTATAGGGGTACTGAAGTTGCAAAAGCGAAGTGGTTAGGTCCAAACGAAAGGCTCAGCGGAATAGATCGAGCTCGTCCCAGAGGTGCAATCTGTACGTACTCGCAAGCGGGAAAAAGGTTAGACAGGTTATAGTCAACGGTGCAAAGAGAACCGTTGCAGGCGTGCCATCAGACTGAGTGTGGCAGTGCCTTGGTGTCCTTGCACTGACATGCTTCGGCTTCTAGTCATCCTGGTACCGGATGCCATGTTGAGAACGATCGGACGGGGCATGTACGATTCTATGAGTAGCGCAGTATTTCGGGATCCGTGGTTCACTGAGATAGACAAAGCAGATACAGGAGCATGAGCAGTTTCTGTTTGATTGGGGATCCGTTTCGATGCAAAGCAGAATGGACAGTGAGGTTTGGGAAGAGGGGGGAATGGGACCAATTGTAGCATAGGCAAGCCAAGGTGTGTTCTCAGCACCCACGTTGTATATAAACTTCATTGAGTGTGTCAGAAGAGCTACTGCGAAGTTACTGACTATATTCGGGTCTGTAAATTATGAAAAGCGTCTCGATGTGCTCGCAGTCTTTCCTGTTGAATATTTTTCTCTCCGGGAGTACCAGCAATTACTAAGGCCGAAACAATGCTTGGCCAGCAGGGCTTCACTTTCGAATATAATAATGTTACACAGAGACAAGCTGAAGGTTTCAGACTCAGAGGGCAACAAGAATTTTTCTATCTTTCATGTTATTTGGTTACTATTGGTTGTTATTTGGGGACCTAATTCTTACTTACGCCCTGTTACAAGCTGAAGTTTCAGACTCAGAGGGCAACAAGAATTTTTCTATCTTTCATGTTATTTGGTTACTATTGGTTGTTATTTGGGGACCTAAATCCTACTTACGCCCTGTTTGAACAAAGCTTGGCAAACAGGTTTTTTACCGTTGAACCAGCAAACATCCGGCGGGGACATAGTAGGAACATTTTCAAGCTCAGAGCACACACATTCATTAGACAAAATTTTTTTCATTTCGGGTAGTAGCTGCGTGAAATGACCGTCCTCCGACGGTTGTACACGTTCCTTCACGAACCCAATTTAAAGCAGTATTAGACATTTATTTATGCGAACCCTCGCGCTGGCAAGCATACTGCCCCTCGCTGAGAACATAAAGAGCAGTGCTACACCCTTTTTTCACTTGTACCTTTCAGGTGAACGACAGCCACTGACCGGCAAGAACAAAACCGACCCGGGAAACTTGGGCAAAAGCCTCGATCCTGTGTATCAATCCGTGAATCCGTGAATCCGTGGTGTGCGCCTTCTTCCGATCCGAATTATTCGGATGCTCGACGTGG